AGACTGTATTTCAGCCTCTGCTGAACTCTTCCTCTCAAGCCCCCAACCGGAATGGAATAAGGGCAGGTCCAGAATTGGAAAAATATGTTAGAAATGGTCCCAATTCACCACCAACTTTCCATGGGACTTAGGCCAACTCACTCAAACATCTCTGTTTATCATATGCCTTACTAGTAAACTCTCTGTTCCTAGCAGATCCCTGTCAGTCGCATCTTTTCAGAGATCCTGCTCATAAAGGGCACTTTGTGAGGACACCAGGGTGTCCCAAGTTAGCTTGTCTATAGCTGTCTGGCTGAGAGGAGTGCTAACCTGGAAGCCGTGCTGCACTCCCACCGGGTAATGGGATCTGTCGGCTGGGATTTCTGTCCAGGTCTTTCATTCCACAACTAAACAGGAAGTGTGCTTGGCTATGCAGGGCTCTGCTAGGACAATCTGTGTGTGACCTTGGCCAGGGCACCAAAGCCCATAGAGAAAGAGAAGGCCCTTTTCATCTCTGAAGCTAGCAACCGACACAAAGTTCTCACAGATTTTGACACAGGCAAGCCAAGCAGGGGGTTGTGGGATATTTGGAGGACATTACCTTCCTAGTGGGTCCCTTGTACCATGGATAGCTGTGATGACCAAAGAACATTCAATTCAACATACACTTATGAAAATCCTACTTAGATGAAGTCGGTAAGGCAACTAGATGACACAGTGGAGCCAAGAAGACCTGAGTTCAAATCCTGTCTCACACATACCAGCTATAGGAATCCAGGAAAATCACTTCACCTCTGTCTGCCTCAGTTTCCTCATCTGGAAAGTGGGGATAATAATAGCACCTCCCTTCCAGGGTTGGTGTGAGGCTCAAACAAGATATTTGTAAAGCACTTTGTAAGACTTAAAGTGCTATATCATGCTAGCTTTATCGTCATCATTATCACCACTGTAAAAACGTGGGTAGTACACAAAGCAAGCGCAGAGGTTACACGGGTCGCAGATGCGGATCCCTCCACTGCCCTGCGAGATCCTCGAAGGCAGGGTCAGCTTTTCCTTTTCTTTGTATCCTCAGCACTGAGCACAGCAACTGGCAAACCACGGATACCTAATAAATGCTTGTTCACCGGACTTGACTTGTAGAGCTTGGAGCACTAGCTTACTATAACTAGATGACAGAGCAAGGATCCAAAAAATTAGTTGGAAAAGAAAGCCCTATTTTGTCCAGTGAAATCTAACTGGAATAAGCATAAATGGGGCTCTAAAAATTAACTTCAAAAATAAAAGCTAGGGGTAGCCAGGTGGTACAGTGGATAGAGCACCAGCCCTGAAGTCAGGAGGACCCGAGTTCAAATCTGGCCTCAGACCAAACACTTGACATGTACTAGCTGTGTGACGCTGGGCAAGTCACTTAACCCTAATTGCCAAAATAAAAGTAAAAGCTGGAGGGGGGAAGGGCAATAACCTTTTATCTGGACATTTATAGGAGTTCTTATAGACTGATACCAATGTGAGTCAGCTAAACCTAATGCTGTCTGCCTCAGTTTTCCCATTTCTAAAATGGGGATAACTGCCTCCCTCCCAAGGTGGTTGTGAGGCCCAAGTGAGATAATAATTATAAAGTACTCAGCACAGCTCCTGACACATACCACACAGTATGTACATGACATCTCTTATTTATCAGCTATTATTATATGACAGTAAAGAAAGAGAAATGTTAAGCTGCACTATGAGAGGTGTCACTTTGCCTTTCCTCTCCAGAGTATAGTGCTCAGGTCTACAGGCTGTATTTTAGGAAATGCAATGATAAATAAGGTAGGGGGTGTCCAGTGGAAGACAAGAAGAATGGGGGAGTGTCTTCATATCCTGCTTCATGAAGATGGCTTGAAAAGATCTCCGACTGTCTGGTCTGAAGAGGAGAAGATTTGAGGGTGGGGCATGAGAGCTACCTTCAAGTCACTAAGTATGAAAATAGAAAGTGAAAATAATGGATATATTGGTAAGAAGGAAAAAAAGGAAAGAAAAGAAGGAAGGAAGGAAGGAAGGAAGGAAGGAAGGAAGGAAGGAAGGAAGGAAGGAAGGAAGGAAGGAAGGAAGGAAGGAAGGAAGGAAGGAAGGAAGGAAGAGGAATCTCCCAGTAGTGAAGAGTCACCTGGATAAAAAAGAATGGATTTGTTAATAGTGAGAATAGTGTTTTTTTTTTCCCCTCAACCATTCAGGGTCTATGCTTAGGAGTCTCCCAGCTAAAGTGTACACAGAAGCCCTTTTACATACCTTAGAGAGAGAAAATGTGGGCTAAGTGATGGTTTGTTTCAGAGGTGAGAGACACCACAGAAAAATGGGTTTGTGACAGTAGAGCCTATTAAAAGGAGGATACCAGCAAATGGCTGCTCTTTAAAAGGAATACAATTTTGAAAGGTGGAGAGGATGTGCCATAGCTTTTAAATGGTCTATAGGAGATTCTGCTGGTCCAAATGTGTAGTCAACCAGCAAGGCCTGCTTCTCTGATGTGGGGAAGCTGGGAAGGGACAAGCATCCCTATCACCCCTTCCCAAAGCCTCCTCTGTGACCTGGGGCAAGCCTTCTCCAGGGCCCTCGGGCTCTTTCTGAGCACAGTGAAGGTGTTGGACTCTTAGCAGATGAGTGATGGAAGCACCTTGGAGAGCACCTCTGCCAACTTCAGTTTAACCCAGTCCGCCTTAGGAAGGTGAAAGGACCTGCCCAGGTGAGACATTTGAACACAAGGCCACTGCTTCTGAGTTCAGGATTCTTTCCACTATGTACCTTCTGCCTCTCCTGGGTTCTTTCCAGCTTATATAGTCTAGGATTCCTTCTCCTCTTTACCCTTTGCATCTCTAAAGAAGACAGAAGTCATTGAGCTAAAGGCCATCAGTCCAAGTCCTTCATTTTACAGATTAGGTAACTGAGGCTCAGGCATGGTAAGTGTTTCTTCCAAGATTGCAGAGGTGGCAAGTGTCAGAGATAGGATCTCAGGCCAGGTCCTCTGACTCCAGAGCCAGAGCTCTTGCCTGCAAAGTCTTTGCATGTCAAGGTTGGGGCATGGGGTAGCAGACTGAAGACAGCCTCCCTCCCCACCATCAGCTATTACTGCCCTTCAAAAGGAATCTGTGTTTGCTTGGTCTATATGTTGTTGTTTACTCACCTATGTCCATGTGGTTTTCCCCAGTAGAATGTAAGCCCACTGAGGGCAGGCATTGTTTATCATTGTATCCCCAGCATCCGACACAACACCTGACCCACAGTGGGTGCTTAGCACGTGTGCTCATATAATGAATGACTCGATGAATGAGGACAAATAACAAGAGAAGTTTCTGTATTCCTGTTTGAATGCCCTTTTTCTGGCTATAAAATGATGAAGGAGGAAAGATGTTCTACTTGTAGAGTCAGGAAGGCCTGGATTCAAAGCCCTCCTCAGAGACTGACTAGTTCTGTTTCCCTGGGCAAGTCACCTCATCCCTCTGGGCCTTGGTTTCCTCATCTGCAAAATAGCGAGGGACTCAGTGGCTGCTGGGGTCCCTCCAAGTGCTAAGCCTCTGATTCTGGAACGGATTCCCATGATCCCTTTGGACCCCAGGAGCCACTCCACAGCCATGAGCTGGGGTTGAAGTGAGGGACACTTATCAGGCAGGCTGTCTGGGAGAGGTGGAGTTCAAGGGCCCTTCAGGAGAACCCACTGTGGAAGCTGAAACTCAGGGGGCCCTTTTCAGAGTTCGGGCCTTTTCCTGTCCCTAAGCCTTGAGCTTGATGGATGGCTTGAAAAAAAAAAGGAGTTTTCTTTTTAAATTATCCTAACTCAGGTTTTAGTGTTTGAGGAGAGAAATGAGGCTGCTTTGGTTGATTTTCCACTTTACATATTGTACCAGGAAAAAAAGTGAGCTTTGGACTGGCTCTAAAATGGTTTCTAGAGAGGGCTTTCAGAAATCAGATGTCAGCTTAAGACCGTCTCAATTCAGTTGTGAATGTTGGCAATGCTTGTGTTCTCATAAGAACACCAGAGAGTTCCACTGAGACCATGCTGCTACAAGATCACTTTAGTTAACATCATGTGTTGGAGAAATGCAGAGCTTGGTTTTTCTGGATTTAGACGAATGCACCCCAGCATACCTTTCCAGAATGGGAAGATGAATCAAAAGGTACAGGAGTGATCAGGAAGCACAGGCAAAGTGGGGCACATTACATTTAGAGAGTCTGTTAATTGTCCCAGCCATTGTAGAAGCATCGGTAATATTTGACGTAATGGCAGAAGTGATCTGGGTTGCGCCTCCCATGAAGAGACACGCAAGGCTTGCTGGGGAGGGTGAGGAGAGGTAAGTGTGAAATAACTGAAGCACGTGTGCAAAAGCCACTGGTTGCATGTAGAATCACGATTCCTAATTAGAAGGGAGCCCAAATGAAAGGCCTTCATTTGACAATGAGGCCCAGCTGAACTAAATGATTTGTTCAAGGTGTAGTAAAAAAATTAGTAGGACAGCAGGGATTTGAACCTAGAACTTCTGAATTCACATTTTCACTGCACCACATTTTACCTCTCTACCTAAAGACTTTTTTTCCATTGACATCTTATTTTATACCTATCTGCCTGTTACTCAAGTGGAAAGCTCCCATCTGATGTGTGGTGAATAAGGAATGGGATGCTACCCCTCCCATCATAACGATGTCTCACTGGAGTGACTTGCCCTTTTGTGACCATTCCTACCCACATTTCCGAACAGACCTTGTCCTGGGGACCAAAATTCCTAGCTAGCACCATTTTGTGCTCACCACTTTGAACCACTCAGGGTCACCTCCACCCTCACAGGGAGACACTGAAGGAAGATCTCAGTGGATAGTGGAATTTAGAATATCTTTTTTAAATAACTCAATTCATATTTAGCGATGGAGTAATTATTCTGAAATCACTTCAAAATAACCTCCTTCCGCCCCTCCCCAAACAAGCACAAATAAAGTTGTTATTCCTGGAGAGGCAGAAGGTCCCCAAACTGTTGACAGCAATGAGTACTTACAGTACACGGAGTCTGCATCCATGGCTCCCCATCAATCTGCATTGGCAGTGACTTGCTTGTCCTGGAAGGAGACGATTTATTAGCAAAAACAGGTATTGGAGAACAACCAAAGTCAAAGGCAAGATGGGGCTCAGGAAGGCAGGCCCTGTGCAGGTGGGGCAGAGAGGGAACAGTGCCAGTGAAGTCCATGATCTCAAAGTTGCGAGTTTCCTCCACCCAGGGAAAGGGAGCTGTTATTAGGTGAGATGCCCTAGGGAAGGGCCCTTGGCCAACCCATGACTGTCATGGTAGTCAGTGATCCTTGAGAACAGTTAGTTATGACATGGGACCCTACACCAAGGGAGATTAACCCACCTCCTATGGATGCAAGAGGCAATGTAGTAAGGGATGAGAGAGCTGGTGTCTAAGCCAGGAGACCTGCAAGGCATCCCTTCTCAGCACCCTAGGCAGTTCTCTAAGACTGGAAGTGGAAGAGAGGATACCAATCTGCAGTGGTAGAGGGAGTTTCCTCACTGGGGTGTTTTTTATACCAGTGAAATCACAGGTCCAGTCTCTGTGCCATGTAGGGTCAGCAAGAAAAGACGACAGGGTAGGCAACGAAGAGTGGCTGTGTGAGAGCCTGGATGCCAGGGTCCAAGTCAAGACTTTGTCACTTGCTACGGGCAACTCGTTTCTTTCTCTGAGCCTCAGTAGTTTGGACTTGATAGAATGCAAGCTTCCTTTCATGGCCAAGGCAGCAATCCTAGCTGTCATTTATGTAGTGCTTGATGGGATCTGAAGCAAGTCTTGACTGCGATGCTTGACCCTCCCAACAAGCCTGGGGCAGATCCATCTCACACAGAAGGGAATAGAAACTTAGACTTTGGAATCAGTGCCAAGTCAGGCTCACCTACCCCAAATGCACGCTCCCTCTAAAGTGCAAGGAGTCTATGAGATCCACTGGAGGTCAGGGCAATGCTTGTGCGTGTGTGTGTGTGTGTGTGTGTGTGTGTGTGTGTGTACAGTGCACACATCCACATGTGTGTATTTGTACGTGTGCGTACACACATACATGTATGTCAGGGAATAAAACATGCTGGCAACATCCAGGGAATAAAATCATTCCTGCTCTGATCCTAAGGTAAATTAAATTACATTAAATAACATCATGTCACTCATGGTATATAAATAGATTTATCTCTACATATATACATACATATACACATATGCATGACCTATTCTGGTCCTGGCCACTACTGACCTACATATCCACATGTACTCTAATGAGAGATTGTCTATAAGGAGATTTGGTGTCTGTTGATAACAGCTCTCTAGGCATGACCTTCTGCAGGATGCCTCTCCCTTGACCAGGACATATTTCTTGGTCCAATTTCTGGAGGACTCCATAGTCATGTTGTCAATGTGCCAGTGGGAAAGGAAGGGCCTTTCCATTCCGGTTCAGAAAAGGCTTGTTTGTGAATCTGCAACATTCTGGGGGAAGCAACAGGATGAGGAGGAAGTGGAGGAGGAGGAGGAGGAGGACCCTGAAGTACAGTAGGTCATAGCTGCCCCTTCCTCTTTGAGCTGACCCATTTGAGTTTCTAGCAGCCTTTGGGTGAAACTTGCTCTGAGGCAAGCTGGGCACCTCAGCCTCAGAGGTAACAATGTTTCTTTGGGACAAGGTTTTCCACATCCCCAACAACTGATTTAGAAACCAATTTCTGAAAAAAAACAACTCATTTGTAACTGAATGGCACTTCCTGCCTGTTACCTACTTGTTTCCCTGGGCTTTGAATTTTGTTGTCAGCATTGGCTGAAATGATAGACCCAAACTGGCAGGAAACTAGATGATTTAAAGCCCCACACCTGTCCGAGGTGGGGATGCTTGGGTTTTCTGGCAGAAGTCATGCCCTGGCCAGGGATGGCATTAGCTTCCAGGAGCCTTTAAATAGCACTTTTTTCATTTTTAAGGCTGGGCTTCCAGGATGAGAATGGATAATTTCCAGAAATATTTTTTAAACTCTTATGACTTTTGGACAGTTCTTCAGAAGTATTGAGCTCCTTAACATTGTGATGGTCACAGATTCACAGCTTGAATGGCCCTCATATATCATCAAGTTCAGCCCTTTCATTTTACCAAGGAGGAAATGACTTATACAAGGCCACACAAACAGTAGTGATAGAACAACCTTCATCAACCTTCACTCACATTTCACCTTGCTTTAATAATTATAGTCAATCGATACACGTCGTACTGGGAGTACGTGCTAGGGATACAAAGGGAAACCAAGCCACACCTCCCACAAGACAGCAACAGCTCTTTGCCTGCTTCCTTTGTTGGTGCTTTAGGAGAAGAGGGAAGACGGGCATTGGGGAGAGCTAAATGGAACCTTTGTGACCAAGAAGGACTGGCGAGGCCAGTAGTGGAGTGATGCTTCCCTAGTTCTCGCCCATGATTCAATGACTGATTTCCATCTCTAAAGAGGATCCACCTTCCCCTCAACCCCTCTCCTGGCTCATTCAGGACCATGGGCTACGGCCATTGGGAATGGGGACCATGAAGTCTTAGAAATGAAATGAAAATTACCTAATGACCACAGAGGCGCACTGAGCCAGGCGGCGGCCAGCACTCTTCAGGCCAGTGTAAATCTGTCCCATCTCCATGGCACCTTCTAGACCGACCACCTCCAACAGCTGATCACTCAGATCTGCGACAGAAAACAAGCAAACCTAGCATTAGGTCCCAGTCAGGCCTGGCTGGCCCAAGGACATCCCTCCATATTTAGGTACAGACACGGAGGGCTAAGGCTCAGAAGAGTATTCACTGGCTACGGGGAAAAATGAGGAGCAGAAAGACGCCCTCGTTTCTTCCCTGAGACCATGAGCGGGGGAGACCCCGTTCACCCCAATCACCACTGGTCCTGACAACGCCAAGAAGACAGGCCGGGAGGAGCTCTTCACACTGACAAATGACACGCGTCACAAAGGAGAAGCGAGACGACCCAGCGGGCACCGGGCTCACCTGTGGGGCACAGCTTGGTTCCTCCACCAACTCCTCACACGTGAATTGTGTGAGTACTACACCTCACTGGGCCTCAGTTTCCTCATCTGTAAGATGGGCTGTAGAACATGACCCCGCTTCGTAAAAGGTGAGCTCTCAATACGTATGAACGTATAACACATGTGTACGTCCCCACATTAGAAAACTTGGCAAAAAGCCATGAGTTTCGACAGTAAAAACCAAGGTGAAACATACATCATCATCAGAGAGGCCTACTTCCATGGCTGAATTCCTAGAGATCATCTGTTCTAATGTCTTCATTTTACAGATATGGAAACTCAGGCCCAGTGAGGATGAAGGACTCACCAAAGGTCACATAGAGCAGAAGCTGGAGCTAGAATCACAGGCTCCACACTCCCCACGTGGTTCACAGCTTCCTGCTCTGTTGGCACTACTGCACTCAGAAAAGCAGGTGTATTAGGACACTCACAGGCTATTGCCAGGGTCCTGCTTTCTTCCCCAGGGAGCCCAACCAAAGGCTTGGTTAGAAGGGGCAACTCAGAGACCCTTCATGGGCATCCAATCATTAGGGAGTGTTCCCTGGTAGGTCTGGATTCAGACAATAATACCAATGAGGATGCTGAGGATGAATGACAGTTGGCCTTCTCTTGGCATTTTAAGGTTCACAAAATGCTTTACACTCATTACCAGAACTCTTCACGTTCTACCTTTCTCCAAAATAAATGTTTCATGTCTGGAAAGTACAATTAGTACAAGCAGGGCATTCATAGGTGACTCATTCATTTATTCAATAAGCATTTATTAACCTCCTACTATGTACCAAGTACTGTGCTAAGAGGTAAGTGTGCAAAAAAGTCCATGTAATCATCCTCTAGTCTGGAGGAGCTTACATTAGGTTTGGGGGTGAATTTGAACAGAGAGGTAAATGCAAATCTATCTACAGTAAATATAACCTGATATCCAGTGGGGAGGTTACCAGTAACAGGGAGAAAAAGGACAACTCTCATGGAAGAGCTGAACCTTTAAGAATTCTAGGGACCCTAGAAGGTGGCGAGCAGAAAGAATGCATGCCAGGGACAGGGCAGAGCAGTGCAAAGTCACGGAGGTGGGAAATGGGGCGCCATCTAAGGAGAGAAAACAGACGGACTTGGATGGAAAGTGGACTCTGGAAGTACCATGCAACCACACTCAAAAGGGGAGCCAGAGCCAGACTGTGAAAGGCTTTGAATGTCAGGCAGAGGATTGGATATCTGATATTAGTACAGGAAGCTATCATCATTTCTTTAGCCAGAAATGGCATGAATGGTATTTCTGACAAAATCTAAGTGGGATATTGCTGAATGAATGAAAAAATGAAATGTTATAAAATTAATTTGAATTCCTGTATTATGAGGAGGGTTAGATTCGCATAAACTCTAAGATCCCTTCTCATTCTTTGTTCAGTCATTTTTTCACTCGTTTCTGACACTTAGTGACCTCATTCGGGTTTTTGTTGGCAAAGACACTGGAGTGGTTTGCCATTTCCTTCTCCAGTCATTTGACAGATGAGGAAACTGAGGCAAACAGGGTGAAGTGGCTTGCCCAGGGTCACACAGCTAGAAGTGTCTGAGGCCAAATTTGAATTCAGGTAGATGAGTCTCCCTAACACCAGGCCTGGAACCCTATCCACTATGGCACCACCTAGCTGCCCTTCAAACTCGAAGATTCTATTGTTTGCCTTTCAATGATACAACAGTACAAATAGCTATTATTATATTTTAGAGCTAGAAATAACTTTCCATCTAGTCTAAATCTCTACTTTTAAAGATTATAACCTTCCCAAATTTTGCCACTGTGAATTCTACCTCACAAAACATCTACCTTTCTGATCTTCTTGCAAATTAACTCTCCAAGGAGTGCTCCTCAACATGTTGTCCATCCAAGGCCCCTGGCTGCATCAGTATCTCCCCTGCAGGCACTGTTTTTTCGGGCTGTCTCCCATGCCTGAAGCTCTCTCCCTCCTCCACTCTGATTACTGACATCCCTGGCTTCCTTTAAGTCATAACGAAAATCCCACCTCTTTACAGGAAGTCTTCCCCAATCCCTCTTCGTTCTAGAGTTTTCCCTCTTTAATTCCTATTTCTCCTATGCATATTTGCTTGTTGTCTCCCCCATTAGATTGAGAGCTCCTTGAGTGCAGGGAACTGTCTTTTGTCTCTTTTGGTATCCCTGGCACTTAGCACAGTGCATAACATAACAGGTGCTTAAGCTTATTGGCTTACTGACATCTCCTATTTGTCCACTTCTCTTCAGTAACACGGCCATGGCCCTAGTTCAGAGCCTCATTACCTCTTGTCTAGACTATAGCAATAGTTTCCACATTCCACATTCCACATCCAGATTCTTCTCTCTAATCAGTCCACAAATGGTTGCCAACATTATCTTCCTAAAGCACAGTCTGACTGTGTCCTCAACAACCTTCAATGGTTCCCTACTGCCTCTAAGTTTAGCTTTTAAAGTCCTTTGTCACCTTCACTGCAGTCTCCATTTTCTAACTTTTTCCACATTGCTTCCCTTTGCATTTGTCTGTGCGTGTATGCATGTATAAGTGTGTTTAAAATCCTAGTCATTTCCATTTACGTTCTGCATAGAAAAAAATCAAAAGCACTAACAGAGTGATTATGTATGAAAGTGACTATGGGACATTCTATACTTAGAGTTCCTCCCCTCTCCAATGCAAGGACACTCCCACATCTGTACTCCCCAAATAGAAGCCTCAGGGATATTGCACCATGGTGCTTGGCCCTGCAAATGACTCAGTTTTGCAGACCTTGGAATATTTGAGGATTTGGTCCTTAGCTCCAGGAGGCAGCAGTCATTATTGGCTGATTTGTAAAATGCCTTCAAAGCAGCCATGTGCCCAAAGCACATCCTTCTGAAGTAAGCCTGTCCCCAAACAAAGTGAGATTCTACCCCCACCTCTCACCTTTCAAATATGGACAGGGCATGAAAGAGCTGTGTGAAAAAGGAATGACCTCTTCTCTCCTCCCGCTTCTAAGAGCCATCTTCCAGTTCTTAAGTCCCCCTCCCCATCATGAGTGTTTGGAGATTCCACCCAGCTCTCCTAGAACTGATTTAAGCTCATTTCTCATGAAACTTGTTCTGTGTCTCTCATTTAAATTTATGCTGCCAAGAACAGATGGACAAGGAATGGAAACATATTCTTTCAGCTGTAGCCCGCATCAAATGTGCCTCGCTTTATAGGCTGGCTGTTAGTATCGGTGTCTGTTAGGGATATGCCAGCCGGAGCACTCCACGTGGGGGCTGTCAGGCCCCCAGATGGGAGCCCATGTGAGACCTAGCAAGCCAGCCAGAGCGGCGGCCAAGCCTTCCCTGTTGCCGTCGAGCTGAGGTTAGCTTAGGGAGCCGGTCTTCAAGGAGGTTGAGCAGAGACTCTGGAGACTAGATGTAGCTGGTCTGTGCGCCCTGACTGTTCCGTGAATCACACAGGGAGTCTGCTACGCCCACACCAGATTGCCACCGTCTAACACCCTCCTTCTCATTTCTTCTTTCTTTTCATTTGCCTTTGTTTTTCTCCCTGCTAAAATGCCAGGGAAATCAATTACCCAGACTGGTTAATAAGCAATAATGAAGACAGCTCCTTGTGGGCTTACAAAGTTCTAAACTTCTCCATCTTTCTTCAGTCAAATAACACGGAGAACATGACAGGCAGAGGGAACATTTGAAAGCTTCTGGCAGGAGGACACCCTCCCCTCCCACTCACTGGGTGACCAGGATTCCTTTTTTTTCCAAATAACAAATTAATATACTCTACACAGATTTCACTGCTGATCACCAGACACAAATCCTCACTTGGCCATAAATGCAGGGAGGGCATCTCCAAATCTGAACGCACCAACCTGTGAGAAAGGATTAGGTTCTGCCTAGAGGGTCACAAACCCAGCACTCTGGGATGTGAAGCTGATAAAGGCATCAGCCCTTCTGGCACTCCGGGGAGAACTCAGCCTACGGCTCCCCATTTCAGTCGAGGTCTGACGTTGCCAATCCCCACTTCAAAACTCATCACTAGCTCCCTCCTCCCTATAAACTCGATACTGTTCAGCTTCACATCAGAAGCCCCCTCAGCCCGGCTGTAGTCTGCCTTTATTGACTGAATCCGCCTGACTGCCCTTCAAGCACTTGGGGCTCCAGCCACACTGGTCTAGTGGACGTTCCCAAACACGGACATGCCGTTTCCTGCTCACATGCTGTCTCTTGTGCCTGTAGTACACGCCCTCCTCCAGTCCACTTCTTAGATTCCATACTTTCATTTAAGGCTTGGCTCACCTACCACCAGTGACAGAAAGCCTTTCTGAACAGCCCCAGTTGTCAGGGCTCGCTCTCTCCCTCCCTTCCTCTCTCTCCCTCCCTCCCTCTCCCTCCCTCTCCCTCTCTCCCTCTCTCTCCCTCCTACTCCGTCTCTCTCCCTTCCTCTCTCTCTCTCTCTCTCTCTCTCTCTCTCTCTCTCTCTCTCTCAGAACTGTTGCACCGATCTGTTGTTCCTGTTGTTGAGTCATTTCAGTTGTGTCCGACTCTTCATGGCCCCATTTGGGGTTTACTTGGCAGAGATACTGGAGGGATTTGCCGTTTCCTTCTCCAGCTCATTTTGTAGATGAGGAAACTGAGGCAAACAGGTTAAAGTGACTT